AGTCGTTGATACGCAATTTCAAGCGACGCACGTAGAAGTTGTCGAAATCACTGTTGAGAGCGCCATAGCCATTGCGAGGCTTGAGATGGCGGTAGTGTTCTTCACGGAATCGCTTGCCAAAGAAATCACGGACATGCCCGAAAGCGATTAGGATTAGGTAACTGATATAGGTGGTGAGCAGGTAATAATACGGCGGCTCGTCCATCACCGGCTCCGGGAAGACACCACCAGGGTGCTGGCTGGAGTATCGGTGGCTGGGATGACCGATCGGACCAAACTGGGCATGTTGCTTGGCCAGCCGACGAGCCTCCTCCGGGCTCGGAGGCTGGAAGAGTGTGGTAGGCAGCTCATCCATGTTGGGATTATCCGCGGTGGCTGTTGATAGAGAGATCGTCGGTAGGGACAGTGAGGCCAAGCTTATCGGCGGAGCAGAATTGTTAGGTTGAGAATGCCCACTCTGTACAGTTTCCGTCTTTGACTTTGGCGAGGACGAGAATAACTGGGAAAGGCGATTGGTCTTGACCGTGGGGGCCTTGATGGAGATACCGCCCTTTCCCGAAGCAGGTGAAAAGGACGGCGGGTTGGAAGAGGTGTCGTTGGAGGAGTTGCTACTAAATCGACGAGGCATCGCAGGAGGAAACAGCGCAAGGTTTCGGCTCGGGTGTTTCTTTTTTCACGTCAGGATCGAGAAGCGCTTTGTGTAAGGCGCGTCCAGATTGACGAATTCAAGGCAGGGACTACCGGAGGTAGTTGAAAGTTGATGCCTTGGGGGTGGGCTGTGTTCTTGATGACTTCGGTCTTCGGCGGAGTTAAACCCTCAATGTGTTCAACCTGGAAATAATGACCAATTAGTATTCTGGACCATCAATTCCATATCTCTGACCATGCCCAGTCCCCAAATAATCCATATTCAGGAACTGGCAGGCCACAAGTCCGATACGTACAAGATCAATTCGAGGTAAGCGGGAGCCGAATACTCCGAAGGGGGCTTAAAAATTGTGTGCACGTGGAATGGAGGGGGCAAGATACACGAAGGGGCAAAGTGCCCTACGTTCAGATGACGAAGTGACCACTGAGAATAGAAATAATGAAGCACCGAAATATAGGGTTGAAGAAGAAGGAAAGTCAAGGTAAATAAGAGATGTTTCCTTAAGCTGTGTAGAGCCCACCTCCTGGTATTAATTAAAAACATATGCAGTACAGTGATAATTACGTGTGATTGGTTAATTTTACTTGACAAGGAGGTATTATTACCAAATCAATACTAAAGGTTTTTTTTTTCCGCACTAAAATTTCGGGCCCGAGAAGGTCTAGAGGCCAAATTGACAGAGAGTCCACTATGCCCACAATTCCAGGTTCCAGTTTGCCCCTGAAGTTGGAAATTTTACATGAACTAATACTCCGTACTCAGTACTATGTATGGAGTACGAGTACGGAATACTATTTTGTGAAAGGAACATGCCATGTTCATCCGGTATATCCGAGTATCCTTTTGCACCAAATAACATGTCTGTGACACTTACATCTCATATGAGGTTCGAAAACGGCAAGATGCCTGAGGCATAATTTCTATCCCGAGGTTCGGAGCTGGCATATCAGACTTTCCAAGCAAATAATTTCACATTCAAAGAGCTTTTTATACAAATTATCTTTCCCCGTAGCCGCGGAGATCGGCAACTCAATACCCGATCATTCCCGCATCCCCTGGGGTATCTGCACTGTCTGACTCGCTCTTGCTTTGTCAAGCTTTGACCCCTGTTAACCCCTGTTAACCCTATCAAATCCTTCAAATTTGTTGAGCTATTGCCACATTGTGTGTAAGAATAGTTTGAGCCCTAGATTTATTCGGTCTCAGACATTATAAATATTCGATACTCCAGACTCCAGTGGCTTGATTGTGTGAACTATTGCTACACACATCATTAGCTATGCCTCATATCGATGAAATCGTCGAACTGGACGTCAAGGAGCTTTGGCGGCCCTCATCTCCTGAGACAACCCAGATCTATGATTTCATGACCAAAGTGAACAAGAAGTATGGCTTGTCCTTGCATGACTACAACGCTCTCTGGAAATGGAGTGTATCCGAGCCAGCCCAATTCTGGGAAGAAATATGGCACTATACGAAAATCAACGTCCACGATCCATATCACGAAGTGAGTAATCTCTATTTGAACCTGGATGCATTATCCTGGAAATGAGATACCCGATGCTAATCCGATCTACACAGGTCCTTGGTTCAAAAGATGTGCTATTTCCTAGACCTTCATTCTTTGAAGGCAGCACTTTAAACTTTGCCGAGAATCTTCTGTATCCCGCCACCTCCCCGGATGAAAATTCCGTAGCAGTGATTAGCGCCACTGAAGCAGCCCGCGAATTCATTTCGTGGAAGGAACTACGAGAGCGAGTTCGGCTGTGCGCAAATGCTTTGAAAGAAACAGGTGTGGAGACCGGCGATCGTGTCGCTGGCTTCGTAGGCAATCATGCTAATACCGTGGTGGCAATGTTGGCCGCAGCCTCAATCGGGGCCTTTTGGACTGGCGTGTCACCTGACACTGGTGTACATGCTGTCTTGGAACGCTTGAAGCAGATCCAGCCTAAGATTCTCTTTGCGGACAATGGCTCCTTCTATAACGGAAAGGTGCATAGCTCACATGCCAAGGTCCAGGAGATTGTCTCTGAATTGCCAGACCTTGAGATTTTGGTGCTCTTTATCACTACCCCAGAACTTGAAGATAGCCTCGATGATCTTCGACCTACAAATGGCAAAGCAACGGTTTATGGTGATTTCTTGTCAGAAGTCAAGAACCCTCAGGCACCATTGGAGTTCGCAAGCTTGAGGCCGGAACATCCTGTCTATATCTTGTACTCATCCGGTACAACAGGGGCTCCTAAGCCTATTGTCCATGGGTCTCTAGGCACATTGTTGCAACATAAGAAAGAGCATCTTCTTCACTGTGACATTCGACCAGGTGATCGCTTGTTCTACTTCACAACGACAACCTGGATGATGTGGCACTGGCTGGTATCGGGCTTGGCCAGTGGAGCCACAATCGTCCTATACGATGGTTCTCCCTTCCGACCCTTTGATATTGAAGGCGGGAAGGGAGAAATGGCCATGCCACGACTAATTGAAGAGCTTCAAATTACCCATTTCGGTACATCAGCTAAATACCTCTCTCTCCTCGAACAAGCCGCTTTGAACCCTCGCAAGCATGCCCATAGGCCGGTGTCCTTGAAGACATTAAGGGCCATCTTCAGTACTGGATCCCCATTGGCCCCATCCACATTCGAATACGTTTATTCCTCTTTCCACCACGACGTCATGCTCGGTTCCATCACCGGCGGCACAGATATCCTATCTCTGTTCGCCTCTGGCTGCCCCATTCTACCAGTTTACAAAGGAGAAATTCAATGTCGCTCTTTGGGGATGGACATCTCAGTGTTCGACTATGCCGGCAACGATATCAGTGCAACAGGCGAACCTGGCGATCTGGTCTGCGTCACACCCTTCCCGGCCCAACCAGTCATGTTCTGGCCCCCGGGACCAACAGGTCTGGAGAAGTACCGAAAGAGCTACTTCAACGTGTTCGGGCCCACAGTCTGGCACCATGGAGACTATGTGCGCTTGAACCCACAAACTGGAGGTGTGGTCATGCTAGGCCGCAGCGACGGCGTACTCAAGCCATCTGGAGTGCGATTTGGAAGTGCCGAGATTTACAATATTCTACTCAAGCATTTCGCCGATGACGTGGAAGATTCTCTTTGCATTGGTCGGAGACGAGATGGCATCGACACCGATGAAACCGTCGTTCTGTTTGTCCGGCTTGCTGCTGGCAACGAGTCTGGTATGCCGCCGGACCTCGCGGCACGCATTCAGTCCACAATTCGGAAGGAACTAAGCCCCCGTCATGTCCCTGGTGTTATTGATGCATGTCCCGAGATTCCGGTGACTTCCAATGGCAAGAAGGTCGAGAATGCTGTCAAGCAGATCTTATGTGGGCTTAACATCAAAATTGGTGCGAGTGTGGCAAATGCTTCATGTCTTGATTGGTATAGAAACTGGGCTTCCGAACACCCTTAGTTATAATTCCTTATTACATAGAAAATGTGCAAATCTAAAGTTTTCTTGGCGGGCTTATAATTTTCTGGTATAAAAACATCAATAGCTAGTACGGCGTAGATCACCTGCGCCATATATTAACCGCAGCTAACCATTTTCTCCTTGAAAATACATGCCTATTCTTTTCCAACCCTGTCTTTTCTTCTCCGGTGACACCCCGTGGCTTGGGAAAAAGATCAGCATTACCAAGGATAACAGATATTCCACGATGTCTTCCTCGCAATGATACTGCAATTAGCAGTAGCTTGCTAAGTGTGTGCCACGCTCCACAAAACGAGTAGGTTTGGCCGGGATAACCAATACTGACACCGACGCAGCTGTATGCAGACACGGCTTCAAAAATAATCCTAAAGGTTGAAAAGGCCAACGGTTCGGCTTCGGAGTGATCTGATTCAGTGATGGCTATGACAAGAATAGCAAGAGATAGCCACCAGATATCGTGGCTGAATTGAGAGCGAACTTGTTCGTAAACGAAGCGGGCGTGAGGAAAATTTGAGAGACTTGAGCGATGGGATTCTTTTTGAACCGGGTCTGTGGGCCAGTTGTTTGCAATATTCGTGCTGCTACTACTTGTCAGAGTCGAACTTCGACCGTTGGGATTAGGGGCTGTCATACCTGATGGTGGCTGAGACGGGGAAAGCATAGATATACTAGAACCCGGCACGTTTAGTTGCGACATTCTGAATCCTGTTTGAGTAAAAGGATAAGAGCTCACCATCATGAGTACTGTATGAGATCCGGTTAACGACTTGCCTAGTCATAGTAGGATTTCCGTTAATGGAACACATACCGTATAGAATAACCAAACCCTGTGGCAGTCCATCAAATGCCACGACAGAGAACCCGCCGCCTCGCACAGCTTTATTCTGCATCAGCTCTATTTATCAATGAAAGACCGGAATGAGATACCTAAAGCCTGGAAAAGCCCATCTAGGACGCGGAAGTTGGGTGAAAGAGAAGCAATCTCCTCGTCACGGATGGCAGCAACCTCAAACCCACCCCACATGATAGCATTAAAGAATAGGACTGTACTCAATAGAAACCATGTATGCCAAGCAGGGTACAAGTAACCTGAGATCTTTTGGGATTGATCGAGGGCGAAATCGAATATTTGTCGCCACGACTGCCAAGTAGGATTATTTAGCAGCATCTTTCTCAAAATCCAGATATAGAGTCGTAATAAGCAAGGGAAAAGCGTGTTTCCAGCAAGGATGAGAACGCCACAGGCAAGAAGTGGAAAGGGCCTATGGGCTGTGTGAGCAAAACACTTGCCAAATGGTTATCTGCAGGGAACTGTGACCCACTCCTTTTGATAAGGGCTCATGTTAGTATCAATGAGGGACATGCCGTTGTTGCAAAGCGCAGATGTAGCAAGAAAAGCACCTGCCCAAAAAGGGGAGGTTTCATCCTCCCGTGGAATGTCTGGGCGAATGAACTTGGACCAAAGGCCGATGCTCATGATACCGATGATGAGGAACCCGATGAAATAGATCATGGTAAGTACTGCCGTCAAGAGAATTGCCTTGTACTCAATTACCCTGTACTCTGCCTCGGCTGGTTCATTGCAGTCGATTGGGTCTCTATAAGAGAAGTGGTTTTTAGCCAGGAACTCATGCTTTTTATGTGCATTTCCATTGCCGAGATCATTCTTGACATCAACAATGATAGAAACCACTCACTGGGCTTGGTTGGGATGTACCCGATCTGTGACAACGACAATGCCATACTTGTTCCATCCTTCAGGTTCACAAGGGGACGAGATATCCGATTGAACTTCTGTCACTATATTGGCGATTTTTGCCTTGCCTATAACATCGGTAGACAAGGTACCCTCTTCAACACAAGCCATTTGTTTCTTTTCCTTTTGTCTCTTCTTTTCCTTGTCTGGGTTATCTTTCAGAGCAGATCGGAGCATCCAGGCACGGAATAGAGAGATGGTTGCAAATATAGGAAATGCGTGTCCAAGAATAAGAAGGACAAACAGGGTGCCCTGCTGTAAACTGCTTAGTGGAGACAGGTCCATCTTAGAAAAGTCAACTGTCATATCCGGATGTCAACTATCAACAGCCGAGGACATACCACGCCCAGCCCAGTTCCTGTCATGGCACTGAAACACATAAACAAAGCATCGGGATATTGGAGACCATGAATAGGCGATGGGGCGGTATAGAATATGATACTTCCGATGAAAGATGTTAAAATAAAGTAGGCATAGTGTAGTCTGAGTGGATTGAATTCCAAAAGATCAGCCATGATCGGCATACTTTAGTGGGAATCGTAAGCATTGTCTGAGTGTAGGGCTGGGATATCCCAAACCATATAAAGATAATCGGAGTGTAAGGCCCAGTAGCAGCCGTGAATACTTGGGCTTTCTTTATCTACGTGAAGCCCCCTTCCATAAAAAATGTAACCGTGGGATTTTATCATATTGGTCTGGTTCCTTGCTACTTTCGTCAGATACCATTCATTTCTTAGATCCGGTGGAGCACGAGAACATATGTTGTAGTACTTAGCAAATTCTAAGGTACGGCACGCTGCATTCTGAGGAAGCAAGGCTCAAATATGTTGTTCATTATAAGTGGATGGCCAGATCGTGGCTATCTGAGGATTAGGGAGAACCACAACAAATAAATCAGGTAGCTGTTGCAGTATAGAAGAATCTTATGAAGAAGGGCGGGCTTTCGTGGAACGAAATGGATTCCTAAGATATCATGTGGTCCTTAGCGGATGTTAGGGCCTAATATATATACCATTGCAGCGACAATCGCACCTTTCGATTGTAGTTTAAGTTCCTAGAGGATTTTCCTTGGTAATACAAAAGAGTCAAACATCTGAGCTGGAAAGTGCTTTGAGCATCTGGCAAGGTGAAACTTCCCTCTGCCACTCCATGTCCAAGTGACGGTCTGGGGGGCTCACTTGGCATCAGACCTCGCAAATAGTGACCCACATGAGAATGCGGTGACCCTTCCCAGGACGTATCCTTCTCCCCAAATGTGTTACTGGCCTTCAGTGCGAGCTGAGATATCTATATTGTGCAAATCCTAATTCTAAGTCTAGCACTGGAGTAGATATCAATATAGCCCTCCGCTAATGGAGGTCGCCTCTCTAAGCTCCCTGGCATTATGGCTAGGCAATCACTGCTACTCCAAGGTGGAGCAAGTTGAAGTAGCGGAAGGACCGCTAAACCTGTCTTCTTGGTTCGATTGACTCAGCAATAATTTACTTCCTTCATGGGACTGTAGATATTTGCCACGTGTTTACAATGTGCTGGGAAGGCGGAGACACAGTCACAATGGAGCATAAGATTGTCAATTTGGGCTGTGATTAAAGTACACGCAAATGGAAATTAACAGAAAAAAAAGGAAAAGCAAGCCGAAAGTCTTCCGTGTATAGCCCTTTGTTTCAAACCGTTGGATGCCCATATTTTCTCCAACGATAAAGGGACTCTCGTGGGATGTTGAACAAGCATAGCAACCTAGGCCACCCTAACTAACACTTTAGCACCTCTGTCTTCCGACGTCCTCAGTATGTTTTCCTAGAAGCCAAGAGAAAGATTTTATTGATGGGCCGTGTATTCCCCTCGTAGCCTGCCCACGCGAGTTGCTGATTAAGGGCCCAATCTGGCTCGATTCTTTCGGTCTTGGTTCCGTCATCATCGACAGTGAGTTTGATAATCATCAAGCGTAGTGTCCAATTTTCAATGCCACCAGCCTTCCCTTCGGTCTCCACAAGTAAATCCATCAGTTGAGCATGCAATTTCTGTAACACAGATCTTGTTTGCGAGAAGACGCCTTTATCAGTAAGCTGCTTCAGTATATACTTTTTTGCTTCACGGGACAATTTTTGATTCTCGTGGCGACTGTTGAAGATGCTCAGTAACGTGATAGTGGAGAAACTCGGGGTCTGCATGAATAATATCAGAGGAAAAGAGATTTTCCCTTCGTCTAGGTCTTCGCAAAAACCTTTTTGCTGTGCATACTATTACGTGATGGCACATTGTCAGCTTTTATATCCTTAAGGGGAGAGAGGGATGTAAATACGTCTGCAGATTTGAGATTTTGGTAATCATCGCGAATTTGGAAGTACCTCCCAAGCAGATTGGCAAAATGACTTAGATCAAGATCCCTAACTTTGTGTCAGCCGATGATTTTATCAGTCACGAGGAGGCAATTTAATCACTTATTCAGAGTAGCTTCTGTCTGCATCAGTCGGCTGATAAGACGGAATAGACCCCCTGTCTCTATTGATTCTTTAGTAAGACAGGTAATCAACCAGGAGAAAGGGGATAGCAGAACTTACTGCCATCAACCATGCTCATATATTCTTCCAAGTTGGGCACATGGGTATGGTAGCTCCAGTGAAGATCATGTCCTTGTCCAAGATGAAGGTTGCGCATTTCCTCTACTGATATTAATCTCAATATATCGAAACAAAGAAATTAGATTTACCATACCCGAGTATACAGACACTGCAGATTCTGATAGCCTCTGTATAAGACGCAAAGCCTCGTTCATCAGAAACGTAGCTGTGTTGATCGTCTGACCGACGCCGAATACTTGGTGCGCGACTGGATTACCACGTCGTAGCGAGCTTCCGTCCTGGATGTCATCGAGCCTTGTCCATGGTTAGTGATAGCGAAACATGGTGGGCACGGGTTGAGCTACAATAGTGATGAGTTATGCAAAAAATTTATTGCATCTCCAATAATCGACAGGGATTGGTCTGGCACCTTGTACCAAGAGTTGAGCGCAGATATCAAAGTCCCTCTGATATTCTTGGATGGCAAGGAAATAATGTAAGTGTATGGATCCAACACGGACTATCAAGATGCGAACTAGCTAGTTTTTTCCTGTATCTTCGCATAAACTATCATCTGGAACTTGCCTCGTCCTGCAGATCATTGCCTAAAGAAGTCTTCATCAAAACTTTCTCCTCAATTGCTATATAGAATTCCGGGTTTAGCATTATGCATAATCAAGTTTACTTCAAATTCTGAAGCAGACTCAAATGGTATTTCAACATACCTAGCATGTCTAGCTGTTTGGGCTCGATGGTATCAGCACAGTTTGTAGCTTCTGAAGTTGATTCAAAAATTGAAGCTTGCGGTGAAATCACTGGAACTTTTTCACTCCCGAATGTTTCGATGTAATCACGGTAAGGGTTGCGGTCACTCTTTGCGTAACGAGGGCACCGAATGCTCCAAACATAGTTTCCAGCCATTGCATGCTCTAGTAATTCTAATATCCTCAGGATTGACCTTGATGGGTTGGACGTGGTTTTGTACTGGTCTCTTAGCTGGCAGAATCGCTCTTCATGTACTGTGAGCTCGGACCGGACGACTTCTTTAGCAGCGCTCTCCGTTAGCATCTTCGAAGTCATAACAATTTGCACAGCATTGACTACTGGTATAGTCTCTCCACTTTTAATGTAAGCTGCTTTCTCCTTCTCCCACGAGAACAAGTCGTTGACTAGAGCCAGCTCAGCATATGCGATGTAGTTTATCGGGCCGATGATTTTTTCTTCTCCAGGTGTGAGATAGATCCCCGTTCCCCATTGAAGAATTGCAAGTGTCCAACTATAACCCAGTCAGAAAATAATTTCAGTACAGGTGATAATAGATATGTATACCTTCCTGAAACGTCCACTACCCTGGATTTAAGGTATTCGTCCAGGCTAGCGAACTCGAGTTTTCTTATATCTTCTGTTGCCTTGGTCCATGTCCTCCAGAATGGTAGAAACCAGCTTCCGAAGGTAGGATCAAGACGAAGGAATTCCGCCGCTATCTTGGCCTGTGCCTCGGATTTCCGTTGTGCGGGTTCTGACATTGGAGTTGGAATAGAGGTCACACTGCTTTGATTAACCGTCTGGTCAAGCTGCATGTTCATTTTCCGTGCCTTGAAATATGTAAGCTGTGTAGTCTTAAGCCAAGTCCAAGGGGGACACTATACAGAATGTTCATCTGAGGCGGTGTCATTGCCATCTATCGTCATTTGTTACTTTATAATCTTGTTCTCGCAGGTTGTTAACATACCATCATGAATGAATGCATATTCTATGATGTAAGAAAGAAGGGGGAGTCTTTCGGGCAAGCAATTCGGTGCACATAACGTGGTAAAATTGCCTGCCTCAGCGTTGAGGGAACCAAATGACGATCCAACAGCATCTTCAGTTCCAAAAATGTCTAGCTGGCACTGTACTGAAGCGTGGTCACATATGTCACCATGTCTATGTTCGTGTGGAATAAATAAACAGGTAAATTCCGGATCGTCGACGTAGATTTCAGGGCGGATGGGCACAGCATATGTGGCCATGTTGTTCAGAGAGATAAGTACTCGCAGACGTCTCTCTTTGAAGATATCTAAGATGGAAAAATTGAATTGGATCGATAGAATTGTTCAATCTAATTGACGACATTACAAGAGCAACGAGCTATTTATGCTCAGTTTGAGGGCCTTTTATCGGCATCTAATTCCCTCCGCAGCTCTCCAATAAGGCCCTAGCTGTATATAGAGACCATTCAGCCCTCGATTCCAAGCAGTAAGATTGCTTGAATAGGCATAGGTGAGGGGTTGTCGTGGCATGGGGCGTTTGGGCTGCATGGATAGATCAACACCCACAGCAAAGAGAAGACGTGGAAAATTGATGAGTCTCACAGGACTTGATTGAGGCGCTAGATGCACAGCGCATCATACTGTAGAGTTCGACAATATGAAAGGGTAGATGACCTAAAAATATATAAAAGGATCTTGCAGATCCAATCATTCAATGGATAGGCCGCGACAAACACAGAGTCTGTTAATGATATCTGGTATTCTTGTAGGCACTCCCTTTACCTGCTAGAAATACAGCTGGTCTCAAGCATTGGCATGATGAGTGGCTATATGGCAGGGGAGCCATTCGAGCCTTGCAATGATGTGCCCAGGTGTTTAAGAGTGATTAATCATGCTACGCTATTAACCCCTTATGTAAAGTTTATGCAGGCTTAGCTTATGCTGTCACGTTCCTAAGGTTGTCCATAACGCAAGAGATATTGTGGTAAAGCCATATACAATGATGTCTACAGTTTTCAATATTCAAAAGAGGGTTTCCTATCTCGATGTATCATATGAGGGATTTAGTTTAGTACTACTTCCCTGCGCTACTGCGTACTAATGTATAATCCCCAGAGACTGTGCTGCATCGAAAGGTGTCAGGCGAATAGATATTGACATTGTGTGGCTGGCTGAGACCTGCAACCCCTCAATGCTCCTCTTTTGTTTAGATGTATTTTGGCCATATCTGGACCCCAGAGTCATTGGTATTCTCATCGGCATTTCAACCCCAATGAAGATCAGCTGTTTACTGTAATTCTGCAGAATCAACACTCATTTTATCTCATCTCTTTCACTTATTCCATCGCTCTCATTGGCAGATAAATCCTTATTCTTTCCGTAGCGTATACAGGCCGTTCCTGTTGAAAAGAATTAGTACACGATATCAGTATTGCTTCTTTGACTGTCTTGATATCTGATCAGTCGATGCAAAGAAAAGTATCCTAGGGGACGAGGTTGAAGCAATGACACCCTGCATCATGCTATTCCGTTTATGAGCAACTGGTGTGAAAGGAGCTTACACACGTCCTCTAGCAACCCACCACGTATACACCGCAACCGACACCCAGATCTCATTAATCTGTCCCCCGAAAACTTAAAATCACACTGAATGATAGTGATACTGTGACTGGTGACTGTCAATATACATGTAACGTAATTTCTAGCCGATCTGGTCACCCCGGCCCTTTGAGCCAACCCAAATGTTTCTTTGCCGTATCCAGATTCATCTACATAGACAAAATGGTACAAACGGAAATCCGAGATGAGGTGAAAGTTGAATGTATTGAAGTGCGTAGGGAGAAAAAGAAGCTATCTACATGTTTAGACTATTTAGGTCCTGGGAGATATGGACTCATACATATCATATGCCAATGCATGCATACACCACTCCACGCCAATACCAAAGGTTCTGGGTTCTATAACTGACCCATTTTGATTGGTAAACAGTCTCCATCCTCCTGCGATATCGTACTTTAAGCCACCTATTGAAAGTTCGTACTGCTTGGTAATGACAGATTTTACCGAGGAGTTTTCCTCGTATCTTTCTAGACATATAAGTAGTCATGACGAACTAAGGATGCTAGACATGCCAGCTTGACATACTTTGACCCGGCAAATTTACGAACTCTCCATCGCTATCAGATCATTGGCTGAAGCGGGCGAGCTTGCAGGTTAGATATTTCCCTGACTACCCTGAATACAGGAGCTTTGATCTAGGGTTTAGTTGTGACTCTTGCTGATATAGACTACTGACCTCTAGTCCCACAAGACCTTACTCGCTCTGGCCAATCATTTTAGCATTTCAAGGACGGAAATAATCGTTGTACTCTTTGCTACAATGCCTCTCGACATTATCCCGGCAGCAGTAATTCCGGCCAGTAGTAGTTCTCGGGATATGCAAGAGGGAAGCTGGACTCTCCGCACTTCTCAAGGAAATCAGCTGACCCGCCGAGGGAGGAGAGGAGGATGCTTAAACTTGAACGGCTCCGTCACTTCACGAGCTGCTGCCAAGAGTGCTTGGCTGATCAAGCGTGCGATGAGCTGGGTTTTCCCTCCCCCGCCGATGGGTACAGCACTTGCTGAGTATGACAAAATTCGTGCGCTCTGCTTGCAATCAGCTACTGCCAGTGAAAAGAGTTCGGGCTTTGGCTCACTTAGCTACCGGTCGGCCGTATCTCAGGTCCACCAGTACGTTACAGCCTGTGATGTCATAATCAGTGAATGGGAGTCTGCCCTAAATAGTTTGACTTTGCGCACTGATCGTTCCGGCGATAGTGGTATCTCGATTAAACGGCGGAATCCTGCTCGAAACGAGCGTGGCACGTTTGCGATCAACCATTACGTGGGTGGTTCTCTCGTCCAGCTCCCTTACGATAACCAAGCTGTGACTGTTGGCAGTCTTGTCCCCGCTTCTTTGTCAACTCTCGGACAAGAAACAAGCCATCTAGAGGCGACATGTCATGCCAACATGCACGCCTTATGTGACCATTTCCCATGGGACGTAATTACCCGTGAGCCTTGGTACCGCTATAATTGGGTACTACTCAAAGGGTACGCTGAGAAGTCCCCTTTTGCAGCTTTGTGTGCTCTCTACGCAGCGTCACATGCCAGAAGTACATACTGCAAACAGAGGATGCAAAAAGAATTATCGGAACGGATTGGACAAGCAGTAATGCGGATACCGATGTCCCTTTGGGGAAATCTTGACTTCTCCAACGCCGTCAGGGCTTTTTGCGTGGACACAGGTGAAACTTCTGCTCACCGGTTCCTAGACGAAAGTAGCATGATGGCGTCTACCCTTGCAATACGGATAATCAATGATGCTTGCGATGTTCTCACAGATATGGCCACTCTGGAGCCCTGCAACACCTTTCTCATGCTCTGCTCTAGAAGTATGACCGAGAGGGCCGATTGTTTCCTTCGAAATTACGCTACATGGGAAACAGACCACGAACTCTTGACCGGCAGCGCTGCCCTCAGTTTGGTTTACTCTATAACATTAAACCGTGGGTCGATCCACGAGAAGATACTACAGCGATACGAGTCTGGGAATTTCGCTAGGCGACCGCGTCCCTGTGCTGACTGTGCTCGCGCTACTGCCCATGCTCCCCTCCTTACCGAATGGGAAGATCTACCGCCACCGTGTAGTCACCCAACCTCCTCTATTGCATACCCTGGATTATTCGGCGAAGCCCTTGACCGTTACAGGGCTAACGACCCTGAGGCCCTATCTTTCCTGCGCCCCGAGTCAACATTTGGTGGAGCGTTAACGCGTTACGCCCTCGACATAAGTATGCGCCGACCAGCCGATGTCTCTTTGCTTGTGTCGCCCTTATTGTCACTCCTGCTCATAGAGAGTGATTTGCTGTATTGTGTGGGGGTCGACTCTATACCTGTTGAATACATTGGCCCTCTGCTATTGGATGACTCCTGAGCAGCGGTCCTATTGTGTTTGACTTTTGGTTGTTGATGATGTGATCGTCCTGCTGTACTATTCTACAGGTGTAGTGTAAGTATAATCGAGTTCCTTCAGTTTGTTAGAAGCTTAACAGATATTAGTCTCGGAAACAATGGGGATGAGGCCTGCGCATACAGGCCCGAAACATGCAATCTGGATGTTGGAAGAAATGGTGGAGGGATTAATGGCTTCCGTGGAAATGCGGAAGGGCAACGGATATTTGCAACCTTGGAAGAATGCCGGTATTAGTCATTTGTTCGTTGTGCTTAGTTATTATTCATTGTCACCTTTCCATACATCTCTCCAATAAATAGATACATATTGTGCAATTTCGATTTAGAGCACAATATACTACGATTGGATGAGTCCCCATACTCATTCGCAATATCTGGGGGACGTAGCTTCTCTACCATTGTGGTAGATGGCCAGCACTAAAGTCGGCGTTGGTTATGGGTAATATATCCTTTTACCATACCGATCCAATCAAGTAAATCCATCAAGACCAGAAATGTATATGTTTAGGAGTAACCCTGTAACTATATATTCAAGCCATGCAGGTCTTGGCCTCAGGGTAATTGGGCTACACACCTGGGCAAGCCCTGCTTGCATCTAGATTTGAATGAAGATAAATAACACAGACAATGGCTTCTTGTCAAAACATCAATAATTCAATCATAAAGTGGCCGATTTATCATTGAAGAACATAGGGCTGGGCTATGGATCTGTCATGCAACGGATTAGCTAAGCACTTCGGATCGAGGCTCCATTACGATTCTTCGCCGACAACCCGTCCGAGCTACATCACCTCTTCCGGATATATTCGGTGCAACAAGAAATCCTGACTCAACCAGGCTGTTGCATTTGTACAGAATTAGTCATAATGCGCCGCTCAGCACTGCGGGCCATTGAGTCCACGAAGCCATTGACACGAGCTCCTCGCGCCGTGTCAAGAAGCTTCTCTACCATCAATGATTCGGCCAAGGTAAGAGAGCCCCCCGTTATGTGTTGCAACGTAGTATTATTTGTAACTGACGAATTGTTATCTATCTGCAGGATCCCGCCGAGTTAGAACAAATCACCACACTTCCCAACGGAGTTCGCGTCGCCACGGAATCATTACCGGGTCCCTTCGCTGGTGTCGGAGTCTACATCGATGCCGGATCTCGTTACGAAGATGAGAGCCTGCGCGGTGTCAGCCACATCATGGACCGTCTAGCCTTCAAGTCTACCAAGGCGCGCACCGGAGATGAAATGCTTGAGATTCTTGAGTCCCTAGGTGGTAACATTCAGTGTGCCTCATCCCGGGAGTCATTGATGTACCAGTCTGCCAGTTTCAACTCGGCAGTTCCTACCACGCTCGGTCTGCTTGCAGAGACCATCCGTGATCCCCTCATCACCGAAGAGGAGGTTATTCAACAGCTCGCAACAGCGGAGTATGAGATCGGCGAGATTTGGGCGAAACCAGAACTCATCCTTCCCGAATTGGTACACATGACTGCATACGCCAACAACACTCTTGGAAATCCGCTACTGTGTCCAGAAGAACGGCTAGGCGAAATCAACAAGGCAGTGGTGGAGCGGTATAGGGAACTTTTCTTCAACCCAGACCGGATGGTGGTTGCATTTGCCGGACTGCCACATGGGGATGCTGTCAAACTCACAGAGAAGTACTTTGGTGACATGAAGCCGAGAGACATTAGCACGACAAAGGGCCCTGTACTGTCAGGCACTGGAATCGAAACCACACTGTCTGATTCCCGAACAGTCGCCCACGAAGGCCAGGTGCCGACCGTTCCTTCCTTCACACCCTCATCAACAATCAGCAGCCCCGCTGCTTCCCCCAAAACACACTCTTCGCTCTTGTCGAAGCTTCCGTTCCTCAAGAACCTCACTTCCTCCAAGGGCTCTCCTACAGTCGAGCCTCTCCACTCATCCCTGGTTGAGCCATCCGCGCTAAACCTCCGCCAGCCTGCCCACTACACGGGCGGCTTTATTGCTCTCCCCCCGATTCCTCCGCCAGCGAGCCCCATGCTTCCTCGTCTGAGCCACATCCACCTTGCATTCGAGGCTCTCCCTATCTCCTCACCCGATATCTATGCTCTCGCTACTCTCCAGACCCTCCTCGGTGGTGGTGGCTCATTCTCGGCTGGTGGCCCTGGAAAGGGTATGTACTCGCGACTCTACACGAACGTGTTGAACCAGCACGGTTGGGTCGAGAGCTGCATTGCTTTCAACCACAGCTACACGGATAGCGGAATCTTCGGAATTTCCGCATCCTGCAGCCCCACCCGGATCACGGAGATGCTCGAGGTCATGTGCCGTGAACTGCAGTCCCTTACTTTGGACACTGGCTACAGCTCTCTGCAAGCGCAGGAAGTCAACCGTGCGAAGAACCAGCTCCGGTCATCGCTGCTCATGAACCTGGAGTCTCGCATGGTCGAGCTTGAGGATCTTGGACGCCAGGTGCAGGTCCACGGCCGCAAGGTCAGTGTACGGGAGATGTGCCAGCAGATTGAGGCCCTCACTGTCGAGGACCTCCGCCGTGTGGCTGGCAAGGTCTTCGGTGGCCAGGTTCACAACGATGGCAAGGGCACTGGTAAGCCCACCGTTGTGATCCAGGAGGGCGAGTTGGAAGGCTACAAGCTCCGGACCTTCCCCTGGGAGGAAATTCAAGAACGGATTTCCCGGTGGAAGCTTGGTCGGCTGTAAATAGTTGATTAATACTTCTGGACTCACGTTGATGTGTCGAGCATAGGGTCATGTGGGTGAAGTAGTTGCATCTAGAGGATGATCTGTAATTATAGACCATGGCCAGCATTTCGACTGTAGAATACACCTCTCTTTTTTATAAAAAAAAACAGGGTTTATATGAACACCTAGCCTTTCTCAATTTTTTCTCTTTCTACATAGTATTCCTTTTACCCATCCATTCACATAAGATCACAAAAACAAATGACATCGTTGTCGGTGGGTCCAAGCTCTTCGCCGCTTTTCGGCAAAAAAGTCGGAGCGAAATCAGAGCGACTTTCCATCATTCAACCATCACCTTTAACTAGATCCCCTTCGTCATTCCCATCAAAATCGCCCAAAATGGTCAAGCTTACTGAAGTCGAAGACGAGCACTTCACCGACAAGCCCACTCCCACAAAGCACGACGCTCTCCTAGTCTCTGATGACGAGGATGACTACTCAGACACTGGTTAGTACCGAATCCCGATACCCAGATGGAACTCGATCGCGCCATTGTCATTTGCATTGGGAATTGCTTCTATGGGAAGATGCTATACTTCCTGGATTTCCTCACATCATCTCATTCCCCAATCCCAATCCCCGACAACGCGACCTCGAAAGCCTAGGAATGAACACATCATTTGCAAATAAACATCAAGAACCGTATCTGACATGGAAATCAATGAACAACAGACTCCGAGATCTCCGACGATGAGGACGTCGATCTCGAGGCCGAATCTGTCTATGAGCGTATCGCCGCTCTGAAGGACATGATTCCCCCCTCCGCCCGCCGCACCGTCTCCAGCACCGTCTCTTCCATCACAGACCTCACCAAGGCCAGTCTCTCATTCAGCGGCAAGGCTCTCTGGATTATCAGCACCAGCGCTTTCCTGCTCGGTGTGCCATTCGCATTGGCCTACGCCGAGGAGGAGCAGTACATCCAGATGGAGCGCGAGCAGGGAATGATCAAGGGAGCTAACGAGGTATGTGTTTTGTATCCCCTTCTACTTTTGTTTCCGTGGTTTCATCGAAACTGCAACAATTGTTTTGAATCTTCGATTCGTTGTCACACACTTGACACCGTGTACATTGCCTCGGGTATTCGCTTCTCGGCAATCCTCAAAATTCTTTTCTCAACACTATCACCACATGCCCTTTTCGCGCTTTTCACCAAACTTCTAGTCACTGAATCTTATACTGATTATGATTCCTATTTGCAGATGCTCACCCCCGGCCTCGAAACCGAGAAGACCGCTCAACCCACTCTGTAAATTAATACCACATCGGAAAGCAGAGAGATTGGCGAAGAATCCAGCGACACGATTATCGACCGACGCGACTTGGTGTCATGCAAACATCACACCTAAGCGCATGTCGCCGTGATTCTGTTATATCCTGGGATTTCCAATCACCTATTTTGGCCAGATCTCAAAATATCGGACTAAAAGTACTCGGAAGGAGTTGGTTTCCCAATTCTCTTCTTGTCTTGACTTGTCCGGATCTTTGTTATACTTCTTGTTTTTTTTACTTCCTTTTTACTCTCGCATCTCTCATGCTTTCTGACATTTTGGCTCCGGCAGCTTATGCATGCATGTATTTGTACAACCCCAATCATCTTTCTTCCTGTTTCTCTATACCTTTTTTCTTCTCTATGTGCATGTCCAGGTAATGAAAAAGGATGGGTTTGGTTATCTAATTTGCATCTCGGGGTAGTCCTAGCTTTCTTATAGGAAAACAGGCTAAGAAGGCTTAGTTTCTTCAGATAGCCAGCTTGCTGTTATGTTGAGCTCGCCGATCCTTGTATTTGTAGGCTAGCTGGACATGACTGAGAATGTGCAACAAAGAACAAAAGGGTATCATTGTGGAAGGTTAAGCGCCGGAGAAAGTTTGCAAAAGGAAAGCGACATCATAAAACTAGCAAAACTCATAGAGTTCATGGCATTTGAGGACAAACACCGACCCTCAGGTACGCTGGCTCTTTGGTATGATCATATCTCATCATCCATAGATAGACTAAATAAGGACAGACCTGATTAGCATCATGCAAGCACCGAGAACATCTGACAAGAACGTACCTCTTTCTCGCGGGCAGACTTGAGATTAATGTGGAAGTCACGCCAAAGCTTATCAACTTCACCACTTCCAGTCATGCTGTCGAGGACATCATTTGCATTTCGTGTTCTCCGCTTGACGCTCATATCATTTCGCCGGAGGATCTCGTCAGATTCCATATGGCCCGTACGTTCGAGGAAGTCAATGACCCATTCATTGAGATGGTAGCGCCAATGCGTGAGGGTGTGGGCGAGCTGGGCTCTCGCCTTGCATTGTCTATTGGAACGCAAGAAAACCGTTAGATGGTGAACTAGATCGAAATGATTGTCCAAAAGGAACTTACTTTCCCAGAAAATACCGGACATTCTCAGGTGGAATGACATGGCCATCCCGGTCCCGTTCCTTTCCATCGTCTTCATTACTAGAACCCTCCCTGTCGTCACTGTCGTCACTGTCATCATTATCATCTTCCAGCGGCTCCAACGTCCGTAAGGAATACGCCTTCCCGTAGAGCTTTATGTCGCTAGAAGCGGGATGCCCAGAGCGCCTGCAAGCATCGCAGGGATGGTTCTCCTCCGTGAGGAAGGCAGCGATCTCGATGTGTGGCCGGGCCTGGAGGGCATAGACAAAACTAGGGTTCCAAACGGAGGAGATCAGCTGTGAACCAGCCCGTCCCTTGACTTCATCTTCAAGCTTCATGAATGCCATCTTGTACATGTCATCTGAGCGAGGGAAGGCCGGGTTAAGTTTGTTTTGCACCATCCAGCCGATAACATCGCGGAAGTATTCCTTTGGCTGCTTATATGCGTGTCGGGTGAACTCGAAGGGGATCTCCTCGGTGGGAACACCGAATTCATGTTCGTCTTCTAGGACAAAGTCGTCTTCGTACCGATCAAGGTTCTCATTGGGGTCGATGGCTGATTCTACGTCGCTGTCATCGTCGTGATGACGCCGGAGACCACGACTAGAGGGGCCGGCACCGCTGCCGGGACGTGCAATCTCCTGCACATCCGAATCATATTCATCTTCGTCATCATCGTCATCTTCTTCATCCTCATCCTCATCCTTCACACCAGCCCGTCTACGGCGAAGGGCTTCAAGGTGCTTCATTCTCTTGTCTCGGGCAGATTCAACATTCCGGCCGCGAGTTCGACTTTTCTTAACGACTACGCATGATTGACATTAGCATAAATAAATTAGTCTTGTGCACCAATGGGTTGCTACCTGAATCCTGAAGGTCTTCTAAATCTTCCGCGATATCGAGTCTGGCCTGTTTAGAGATTTGGCGGGGCGTGTGAGGAGACGGGGATGTCTCTTTCTCCTGTCCACGTCGAAGCCTCTTCACTGGTGAGGAGGCTAATGGTTCATCCGAGTCATCGTCGCTTTCGTTGACTGCAGCTGGCCTTGATAGCCTGCGCCTCTTGACCGTCGAAGGAGCCACTGACTCGTTTGAATCATCGTCGCTGAGTAGAACAGGGGAGCTTGAAAAATGGCCACCTCGGGTAGACCTGCGCCGTTTCGTGACTGAGGACGCCACGGGCTCATCTGAGTCGCTAGAGTCAATCGGCGAGCTTGCGGCCTTTCGCTTGAGTGTGGTCCTCGGCCTTGGTGGGCTGAGGACCACCACTTCAAGATTGTCGGGTGGCGCGGCTTGCATTTCCTTATGGGAGGCGAGGAGGATAGGTCTATGTAAGGGTTCATTCTCCGATTTGTCTTCTACAAATAGTTCGTTTTCTGGATCTTAGCTTTCAGGCTGCATTGATAAGAGAGATCACCGTACTTGGGGGTTTATCATTGGACCTCGTTTTAGTGGGGAGCTTCGGCTGTTCTGTCTCGGGCGAAGGCTCCGACTTGAATTTGAGAGACTTTGGAGGACGGTATGTACCCAAGCTTGGGTTTTCATATTTGAGTGTGGCGTATCGGTTGGCTTGCTCCGGACTCACATCCGCTGAAGGCGATGCGGTTGCAGCAGCAAAGGCAAGTCGCGTTTGCTTTTTTTTCGATTTGCGGGGTGGCATTGCGATTGAAGGTCAATGTGATAGAAGAGGCTAGATCAGAAGGAAGAGTACCGGGTTCATATAGCCAGGTAGGTCATAGCAGAATCAAAGAAAAGCAAATATGTTCAAAGAAGAAAGCCTGAGCCTGTCACGTCAGAGTGGGACCTTCGCTGTCGCGGATCGCGTTTAGAAAACCGCGAGAGCACGTGACCTATATACTTACAAGATCAAATCAACTCGATGAGCTTGGAATGGAAAAATCGTTGTGAAATATCTTCTTAGAATAAACCAACATCTGCAATTTGTTCTTTCGGTGAAAATGGCGGAAATGAGAAAAGTATAGCACCTGAAATATCATGAAGTTATACATAACTCTTGTGTAAAGTCAACGCAGTAATTGGCCACAAGTACATCTTTAAATATGTTACATTGACAAATCTAGCTATTGAAATGAACATAAGTGTTATTATAATATGCAGTTATGCGGGCATGGATATACGGGCATTGTTTGAACAGACTGGCTATGAAATTATCCATACAAGTTGTTGCTCTTATAGGACGAAGACCAGTCATTCAAAAGATATTGGAGATTTCACAAGATATATAAAGCACTATATAACTATCTCCAAAATAGCTCTTATTAATAGGTCATTATTCAATAGATCTTTCCAAATCATGTCTCCTTTGCCATATTGTCTTCTTCTGGCTTATCGTCGATGAAAATAAATTCGAAGACATTATAGTCCCATGGGGTTCTACTTTGGATGTATTTCTTAGGTTGAACACTAGCCATGTAGTATGCATTGCTGCTTTCAAATGTTTCCACCCCTTTCGCTATATCTATAAGAAGTAATCCTACAATGTTGTCCTTGTAACCCGATCTACCCCCTACATCTCTCCAGGACTACGGATAAATTCAGCCCTATCTCTAGACCAAAAGAATCACGGAAGTCTTGTCGCTTAATATGTCTCCTATCTGTTGGGCTTACCGCCATAATGCTTCTCAAAGATCTTATTTATACCACAATCCTTCAACATTTACCCTATTGGTGGAGTTTGACTTTCTCCCAAGCCATTGCCATTCAGCCTGCCGATTCGTGGAAATTCATCAACCTCCTATCTCGCCGGAACAAAAGCTTGAAAAATATCCTCGAACCCCAGATCACTATTACCCCAGGTCCGGTCCGCGCAGTTGATAAAGCTCCAATCCAATCAGAAATTCAATAGACGAAAGATACGCTTTACCATGTGCCATTGACTCTGAATACCCCACCACTCAGCGATCTTAGACACTGGGCACCCCGTTATCCATATGCCAAATAATGCTTAGCGTATCCGGGGTTTGTTGATTCTGGGGATGGTGTTGATCCACCATGGGGTTGTCTTGCTCACATGCGGGTTTCACTTTTCGCCCCCGGAATATGCCCTAATTGTCTCTTCTTATATAGCTTTCCCCGCCCACTTAGGTGCATCCCTGGAGTGTTGCTCATCTTTATCTCTCAAATCACCGAGGGCTATAGTTGATCACCCGTTACACGACTTTTCTTCAAAAATATATTGGAGAAACTTCAACCTCGTTCATTGTTAAACCTGTCCACGTCCCATCAGCATGGGTCTGTTAATGAGCCACAAGAGGGCGTACAACTGGTTCGTGCACAGCCATCTAATTTGGAGAGCATAGCCTAATCCAATTTATAGGTACATCTCTTGTGTTGCAGCATCATGTATGGTACTCTACGGTTACGATGCATCTGTATTCAACTCGGTCCAGGGTTCCAAGAACTGGCTGGCTTGGATGAACAACCCAAATGCCAACACAATCGGTTCAATTAATACAGCATATACGGTCGGCGCTATCTTCGGTGGTTTCTTCCTGGGAGGACCCTGTGCAGATTTCCTGGGCCGCAAGCTTGGGATGGCCATTGGCTGTATTTTGGTCATTATTGCTACATTTATGCAAACCTTTGCTCCTCGCCACAATCTTGCTACCTTCCTTGCGGGTAGATGTATTATTGGTATTGGTCAGGGTATTGCATTGAGTAAGCCTTCTTGATCCCGTTTCAATTGCGTGAACTGACGGAATTGCAGCTGCTGGCCCTATCTACATTGGCGAATTGGCCCCAGCAGAGATCCGAGGTAAAATCATGACCTTTTGGCAGATGTTCTACTCTGTTGGATCGTTCATCTGCTTCTGGGTCAACTTTGCCTGCACTAAGAATGTTGACAAGTTGGGTGAGTGGGACTGGAGATTGGTTGTCATTTTCCAGCTTTTGGTTCCTACTATGATTCTTGCCCTGCTGCCCACTGTCCCCGGTAGCCCTCGTTGGTAAGTCCCGTCTGGGCATTTCTATCAGTTCTGAACAATTCTGACCTTCACTAGGTATATCCAGAAAGGCAATAACATCGAGAAGGCTCGTGAAGCCCTGCAAAGAGTGCGCGACAATGAAGACGAAGTGGAGCAAGAGTTGCTGGAGATTCGCGAGGCCATCGAATATGAGCGGGAAGCCATTTCGAGCAACTACTCTGCTCTCTGGAAGGACAAGTCTCTCCGCAAGCGCATGGCTCTGGCTCTAATCCTTAACGCCGGCCAACAAATTACCGGACAAGGCTCGCTCAACTCATACTCCACCAAGATCTACCAGAAAGTCTTCACTAGCGACAGCCAAATTGCTCTGATCAACGCTCTGAACGCCACCTTTGGAATCTTCTTCACCCTGAATGCCGTCTGGATTATCGATCGTTTCGGAAGAAAGTTCCTTCTGATTGTCGGTGGTATCGGCATGGGTATCTGCATGATCATTGTCTCTGCTGTCGAAACTGAAACACCACAACTCGCCGATGGATCTAAATCACAACCCGTCGGTATATCAATTGTGTTCCTTATGTTCTTGTTCATATTCTTCTGTAAGTTTCCTCTACACACTACCTTAATACCCCACAGCGAAACCACTAACATCATTTCTCAGACAAACCATCTTGGGGCGCAACAGTATGGATCTGGACGTCTGAGATCTTCTCAATGAACGTCCGCGCCCAGGCCGTGGGCATGGCATCGCAGACGCAGAACGTCGCCAACGCTATCGTCCAGCAATTCTTCCCTATTTTCCTCGACAACGAGGGCTTCTATGCATTCTACATGTTTGCCGGTATCAACTTCCTACTTGCTGTCTTCGTTTGGTTCCTTATTCCAGAGACCAAGATGGTTCCTCTTGAGGAGATTGATACTCTGTTTGGTGGCGCCAATCACGTTGCTCAGGGAGAGGAGGTGATGGCGCAACAGAAGGGAGCCCATATGAGGGACGAAGAAAACGAGAAGGCCAATGCTGTTAATGTGGAGCATGCTCGAAGCTAAGTAGCTAATTTGACCCTATACGCTATGTTTTTGGTATATCGACTGTGCTGTTTGTGTCTGGAAATAATATATAAGAGATAAAATAGATCGAGAGCTTTCTTCAATGTTAAAAATGAGGAAGGGAAGAAGAGAAAAACGGTCGTTGCGGATTTTGGCCGATCCCTCAGGCATCAACTGCGCACCACGTGACCACAGGGAATCTTTCACACCTCTAGCAAGCCATATCAACTTGAAGATCTTGACCAACGAAGTGATTTTGTTCTTAAGCTAATATTCACCGGTATATCCAAATTTATAAATTTTGTATTCTAAACTACTATTGGGAGCAACAATTTGAGCACATTTCCTTATTCCAGCCAAACCAAACCAAGTCAAAACGCGAGAATCAATCAAGCCAAAACCAAAGAACAAAGAACCAAAAGAGTATACCAACAACCCTCTAATATGACAATCTATTTCAGATATCCCATGGCCTTCCAAGATGCCACATAGGCCCGCGCGATGTCAGCATCCACCGGCCCCTCAGCAGCCATGGTGGCCGAGTGCTCTTTCGCTTTCTGGGTGTCGAGGATAATGCCACCACAGGACATGCGCTCAAAATTGCCATCGAGGAAGTCAACTAGGCGAGAAGCGGGGTTCTCGTCGGCAGACAGTGGTGAGCGGCGCACGCGCATAATCCAGTCAGCGTAGGGGATGATGTTTTGAGGAGGGATGTCGAGGGCCGATGCCAGCACCGGTGACATGTCCTCCCACGGCTGACCGACCGGGTTGTCAATATGGTAGACAGGGTAAGCTGCAGCACTGTCGTTTTCCAGTTTCAGCAAATCCACCATGACACTGGCGCTACGGTCGACAGGAAGCCACTGCAGGGTACCATGCAGATCGGGCCACACGCGCAAAGCTTGCGCACTCTTAATCAAGAAGGCAAAGTGCTCGACTGGGTTCCAGAATCCGCTGCGGCTAGAGCCGGCGATCTGCCCTGGGCGCGTGACGGTCGCGCGGAACAGGTGCGGGTAGCGGTGCAGTGTCTCGTCGAGCATGCGCTCGTGTACCCACTTGCCCTCGGGGTAGCCGCCAGGCATGACGGCGGCCATCGGCACGCGGTCTTCCGTGATTCGAGGTCCGGCAGATGTGTCCGCGTAACCGACTACACCGATCGAAGACACGAACTGGAAGCCGACACGCGTCTTTGGTTTTCCTAGAGCTATCTCCCGCGCTAGGTCAAGCAAGTTGCGCATAGTCTGTAGCTGTGGCTCAAAGCCCTTGAGGGGCCTTGTGCCGCTCATGGGCCAGGCGTTGTGCACAATGTGGGTGGCATGCGACACCAACCAGGCGTATTCTTGAGCCGGGAGGGCGAGCTGCGGCTTGGAGGTATCGGTCTCATAGACGCGCAGCTTTTCCTGCTCGGTGGGTGACAGAGCAATGCCTCTTGACGAAAAGGCCTCGGCTTGGCGCCTATTGACTGGGACGCTGGAATGGCGGTTCACGCAGACGACAGTGGCGACATCGGGGCGCTTGACGAGGGTCTGCACAAGGTGGGCACCCAGGCTGCCGGTGGCGCCGGTGACGATGACCACAGCAGGAGTAGAAGTAGTAGAGACGTCGATGACTGCGGAATCGAGAGCCGGGGTGGCCCAGCCGGCCGTGTAGGAGTCCACGAGTTGTTCAGCATCGGCCTCGCGGGCGGCTACATCGCCTCTATCAATCACCTTGGTTTCCTTCACAGACGCCACAGATGCCGGGAGACGAGCTTTCCGCTCCCCAGAGGCCAGAGCAATAATAACCTTCTGGAAGGCGTTCTCGGGTCGGTTGCCGTCAGTCCAATCAACATGGCCGAAGCCGGCCGCGTGCAGAGCGCGCTCCCAGTCTTCAGTGGGCACGACAGCGTGGGTGCGGCCGTCGTCGAAGAGCCACCAGCCCTCGAGCAGGCCGAACACAATATCCATAGCTGGCACACACTCGGTCATCTCGAGGATCATAAGGAAACCGTCAGGGCGGAGGGCCATGTGTACGTTTTGGGTCGATACAACCAAGTCGTGAGTGGCGTGGATGGCGTTGCTGGCCAGAACAAGATGCTGTTCCAGGAGCTCCGCAGCCGGTGGCTTCTCGATATCATGCACAGCAAAGCGCATAAACGGGTACTGCTTGGCGAACTTGCGGCGCGCATTGGCTACCATGGATGGAGACAGGTCCGTGAAGGTATACTCAACAGGGATACCCAAGGACGCCAGCACCGGAGCCATCACATTCGTCGTACCCCCAGTACCACCACCCATTTCGAGGACTTTCAGGGTCTCACCAGGATGAGCTACACGCCTGGATAATTGAGTGATGACCTCCGCCATCTGCTGGTAGTGCATGCGATTGAAGCCATAGTCACAGTACATGGCCTGGACAAGCTGGCGGCCCTCGGCGCTGCCGAAAATAACCCGGATGCCGTCCGTGGTGCCACTAAGCACACCGGCCAAGTTCTTGCCGGCGTAGTAGGCCAGGCGGTCGGGGATGGCGGACTCCGGGTGCGCGGCGACCATCTCCTCGAGTAGGGTAGCGCTGTTCTTGCGCGGCACAGCTATGTGCGTGCGCGTGATCTGGCCCGTCACTGTATCGATATCGATTAGGCGCGCCTCACGCTCGAGGAAGCCATAGACAAACTCCATCATGCGGCCGTGCTGTGGCAAGAATGCAACTCGGTCTAGCAGCTGGCCCGGCGCGGCTGTCCGCAGTGGCGACCCGAGCTGGTCAAAGGCTTCGACCACTAGGGCCGTACAGAGTTTGCTGCTGCCGGCCAGGCTGACGCGGGCGATGCTGTCAAGCCCAAACTCGCGGATCTTATCGTCAGTCGTTAGCTTGACCTGGCCGAAGCACTCGAGGATGTCGGAGTGGGAGAGGGTCAGATTACTGGTGACTGGACCGACTGGCAGCGAGACGGGCTTAGCGAGAGCAGAAGCCTCTTCTGGATCTGGGGTGGTGATATCGGAGGCTGTGTCGTCGTTCTCATCTGGCGGCGTGATGAGTTCTGCAGCGGAGTCGCTGTCGCTGTCATCCGAATTTTGTTCCACGGCGTCTCCCCCGGCATCTCCCCCCGTCTTGCTCAGCCCATTTGCGACGCAGGCGACAAACTGGCGCAGACTAGTGGCCTCCATCATCTCTCCGTGGTCGAGGGTGAATTTGAACGCATTCTCGACCTCGCGGGCCAGCTCCATTCCCATCAGCGAGTCAATGCCTAGGTCGGCCATCTCGCTGTCGAGGGTCATGTCGCTGGGGTCGACACCAGAGACATTAGCGACTAGGTTACACACGTCTTGGGTGATGTCTCGAGTCTTCTTCTTTTCTTTCTTGGCTTTAGCACTAGTTTTGACGGCCTCGAGAGCAGCAGCAACTGCAACTGGGGGAGCAGCAGCAGGAGTAGCAGCAGCCGGAGCAGACAGTGCCACCGCTGGATTTCTAAGGAACTTCTGATCTGTCGTGAAGCGTGTGAGAATCTTGCTCATGGACGCCTTGGGCACCCGTGCATACTGCAGACCGAGCATGACGTCGTTCAACGCGCCGGTGGTGGCATCAAAGACAAAGACATCGCTGATATAGGCCTTGTCAGACTGGCGCGTGTGGCGCGCCAGGACATGCCAGATACCGGGGCCGTTCTCTTTACCAGAAATCTCTGGGAGTGCCTTTGGCGATCGCATAAGGAGCTCGCAGCTGGTGGCAATAAACATCTCGCCTAGAGGCAGGTCATCAGTCAGGAGATTCACATAAATGCCGGCGACCTGGCCAAACGAGTCGCCCATGGGCACATCGAGCCAGGTGCGGCCCTCGTGGCGTTTATGAATAACACCAGCGCTCTCGCCTGGGCGACCGATGATGTATTTCACGCCACGGTAGACCGGCCCAAAGTCAACAATCTCGCTGAAGGCGCGGTACACGTTGCGGCCGTGTAACATCTCGACTCCTTCATGGTCGAGATCTAGCTTAAGAAGAGACTGACACTGCGCGTGGCTGACTAGACGCTCGTAATGGCTGAACTGTTGTAAGAACGAGGCGTCGGTCGGTGCTCGCATGCGTATCGTGGCCTCGGCGTGGACCTGGGAGTCGCCATTGCTAGCCACACTGTGTAGGCTCAAGTGCCACTTCATCTCGGCCTTGTCCAGCGGCGACAGGTCCATGTAGAAAACACGCGACGAGTCGGCGCACACCGGTGCGTGGCTGGTGAGATTGTGCACCGTGGGCGAATAACCAGCTGGCCGCCAGTCTAGATTGAGGCTGAAGAGAGCCTCGATGGCCATGTCAATCTCGAGTGTCGCCGGGCAGATGGGTGCCGTTTGGGCGATAACATGGGATGAGAATAGGCGCTGGTATGGGTCCGATGCTGTGTTGATGCGGAAGCGGGCAAGCTTCCTATTCTTTTTGGCCTCCGGGTAGCCGATGAATGTCCAGAGAGGGAGGGACCGGGGGTCTTCCACTTGAGTGGCAGAGGCACCTCCGACGGTATATCCACCTGCTTCAATCATGGCCTGAGCTGCCTTCTTGACAACCTCCGTCGGCGACTTCACATCCAGCCAGTGGCGTGACTTCTCGAACTGGTACGGTGGTAGCAGCAGCTGCACGTACTCACGTGCCTGGGAAGGGTGGTGAGGCCAGAAGGAAACGCGCAGGCCCTGCTTCCATAGCGCAACGGTGGCATCTGTGAGACCGTCAAGGCCCTTTTCAGTGTTGGTGATGGATACAGCCTGGAAAGCGAGCATGTCAGGGCTGGCAGAAGTGACTTGGGCCAACGCACGGCTCGCCATCACCGTGATCGTTGAGTTAGAGCCAGCCTCCAGGAAGATAGCTTGCGGGTGTTTCTTGGCTAGCCGTTGCACAGCATGGTTGAAGAAAACAGGTTGGCGCATGTGCGACGGCACAAAGCTCCAGTCTAGTGGTTCTGTTGAACCATGCTCAGTAGCTCGTTCAACAGGGATCACTGCGTCGTGGAAGGTCAGGTCCCGGCCGACGTTTCCGAGTTC